AGGGTTGGTGTAAGGGTTAAATTGCCTTGTGCATCTAAAGTGTTTAGCACAATTACTATGTAACATAATAGGTACATGCTTAACTTGATTATTTTTAAAAATTTTTATTGGAGGGGAGGTTAAAACAGTTTTATTTTAGATCACTTGGTATAAAGAAATGTGCTGTGGTCACAAGACATATAATTTGTGTTCTGCATTTAGACCTGACACTGCCAAAAATATGACTTATGTTATCACTTCTTCTTTTTCCCCCCTTCGGTTCTTTTCAGTTATACGTGGCAGTAGAATCCATTCTGACATAATTATAAAAGCATGGAATACATCTTGTTATAATTCAGTCCCCAGGACCTCACCTTCCCCTTCCCTCTCCTACCTCCTGCTGCCATTTACTCATAGATTTTTTTAAAATTAATTTCTTGTGGATGTACATGATGGTGAGATTTACTGTGATATATTCATACATGTACATAGGAAAATTAGGTCAGATTCATCCCACGGTCTTTCCTTTTCCTATCCCTCTCCCTTCCCTGCATTCCCCTTTGTCTACTCTGCTGAATTTCTATTCTCCACCCTCCCCCCATGGGGGTTAGCTTCCACATATCAGAGAAAACATTCAACCTTTGATTATTTGGGATTGTTTTATTGTACTCAGCATGATAGTCCCCAGATCCATCCATTTACTTAACAAATGTCATAAAGTCATTCTTCTTTATGACAGAGTAATACTCTATTGTGTATATATCCACATTTTCTTTATCCATTCATCTATTGAAAGGTACCTGGGTTGGCCCCATTGCTTAGCTGTTGTGGATTGAGCTGCTATAAACATTGATGTGGCTGTGTCACTGTAGTATACTGATTTTAAATCCTTTGCCTATATTCAGAGGAGTGGGACAACTAGGTCAAATGGTTATTCCAGTTTTATCAACGAATCTCCATACTTCTCTCCACTTGTTGCACCAATTTGCAGTCCCATCAGCAATATGAGTATATCCTTTTTTTCCACATCCTTGCCAACATTTATTTTTTTGAATAGGAAAAGAAGAGCTAAAACCATCTCTGTTTGCTGGTGTCATGCCCTTAACTTTACAGACGAAGAGAGCCAGTCATGCCAGGACCCTTTTATAAATCACATAATTTATCTGAGCCTATGTCTTTATATCTCTTAAATAATAGAGAGCACTATTTATATCACATGATCATTGGAAGAAGTGAGTGGGCAAAACATGCAAAATATTTGCACAAGGACCGACCTATATCAGGTGTTCAACACAAGGGAGATGTGGTACTCAAGCTTCTGGTCTTCAAAGGCTTGCTGCTTCTTCCTGTGATATATCCAGTTATGGCTGATGATGGGATTTGACGCTATCTCAGTACATGAAGAAGACCTAAATCTCATATCAGTTTTTATTTTCCCTGGATTATCTTGCTTAAGTGACTTTTGCTTTCTTCTCCTTCCTCTCTTTAACATTTTTTGTTCTCTTTGAGAATTTCCTTTACTTATTTCTGGAGGATGGTAAGAGTTAGTTATAAAGTGTGTCAAAGGTGGGGAGCATGACTGAGGACTTAGCCTAAGGTGAGAAAGAGATTTTTTCCCCTTTAACATGTTCAAGCATGGCCCAGATTGCAATGAAATAACTATCCTAGAACTACTAAGTAGCATCCTTGTATAGTTGAATTCATTTATATAAAGTCAGTTGGGAGTTTATATTCTCATTTCTAAGTATTTTCTTGAACATAATATTAATAGAAAAATACATAAAAGGCTAACTTTCTTGGTCAAAAATATTTTAAATAAAAAGACATGCAATTTTTAGGTATATTTGATGAGTTTGAATAGTGAGTTGCATCAGCTTCACTTTAGATGTAGTATGCATGTGTCATGTACAGCTTAGTAAGTAGACAGCTATGTCCCCTCCTCTAGCTTGCTTCCTTACCTGCCATCCCCTGCACTATTTCCTGTATCCACATCTCTGTGTGTGTCTCTTCCAGGAGACATGAATAGAGAATTGTCTTTGCTGCTTTTGAAAGTCTTCTTCTTGAAGTATCACCCCTTTGGTGACTAGTCATTGTCATCTGTGTAGAAGACAATGGTTTAGGGAATGGAGAACACTGTAGAGTTCAGGACTTGAACTCTTCCATTCCAACTTTAAACCTCAACTAGCTGAATAAGTCCTAATGTATATGGTGGTGGCTTCTCTTAAGAAGTGTTAGATAAATGGCTTCTCATTCTCTCTGGCCATTGTATTATTCATCTGTAAACATAAGAGGTATGATGAGATGACCTCCAAGGACCTTTCCAGTGCTAAACTCTGTGATTCTATTCTAAATGTTAAGACAGCTTCCTGGCGTCCCCACTAATGAAATCACCCATCATTTATCTTATAAAGAAAAAGCATACACCAATAGCAACAGGACAGTCAAGACTGGGAATGAGAGAGTGTGGATTTTTATCATGCCCACAACTCTCTAGTGATACTTGTGATGAATGTGAATGTCTTTTTAAAAAAAAAAAATACAGCTGCCCTGGGGTGAACTGACCTGTCTTTTTGTTTGGGGCTTGGTTATAGTACATACATCTTACTTGAATATAGTTTTGCATGCTTAGAATGTGTTTAAAAATAATCAGTTCACTTAATAACTGATAAGAAATTTTACAAAAACTATTTTCACATCTCTAGTCTGTTTCTTCACTCTGACCTTGACGTGTACTTCAGAGAGAAATTGCCAGGTGGGTTCCGGTTCAGATTTTGTTCCCTCCATCCCTTTTAATCCCCATCTTTCTTCTTCTTATCAAGGCTGTTGAGGTGTTCTGCCAAGACCACACCTCCATAAAGCTCAGCGCTAGATTCTCATTTCCTGTTCACAGCACTAGGATCTTGATCCAATTCTTCTGCTTCCTCTCCTCTTTAAAATCCACACATCAATTTCCAGCCACCCTACAAGATTTGTAGTGACCAGCTTTAGCCCTGTAGTCCTCCTTCCATCCTACGATGAATAGAATAGATTCTCTAGCTGTGCCTCCACTTTATCAGACTAAGCTATTAAGGATGCTTTGGTTTTGCCCCATTTCATGGAGCAAATCTTATTCTTTGAGTGACTCGCTCAAAATTGGATAACAAAAAAGAGATTTCTTTCTTGTTTAGCTTTTCCTGTAAATCTCATTTCCAGACTTGCTCCAAATGAGGGTAAAGGTTAAGTGAAGTGGGAAAACAAGAGGGAGGGAGGAAGGGAGGGAGGACATTAAGCTCTGTTGAGGCAGTCTACTTCAACAGCTTGCATATCTGATTTTACACCCTTCTCTGTTGATCCCTTTGGTGGGTGTGGACTCTTGTAGGTGGTCCCCATAACTTTGCATGGCCAGTGCCCCATCCAGCAGGTGGCATTTGCAGTGACTCTCTGCAGGGACTTTAGTTTTCTGCAACAATTCTCACCCTCTGTCTCTCTCTTCTCTGCTGTCAGCAGAGCAACTCCCTCTGGCCATCTGCTACTGCTTTGGTCCAAGTTGATCAACCTGCCCACAGGATTTCTCTCCCAAGGCTATATGGTTTGTTTCTATTATTCATGGTAATGTCTGTTTTTCTCATTTCTCAGGGAAGTTTTTTTCCTTTGCATTTCATTTTGCTAATTTGAGCATGGATCCCAGATACTTTTCACCACCAAAAAAAAAAAAAAAAGTTTTCTTTTTCCTAGTCTACTATTGCAAAACTATAGCCTAGAGAAAGTAACAGGGAGCTACAACAGAAAGACTACAGAACCAAAGTTTGTGGAACCTAAAATTGGTCAATTTTGTGTGCCTTGCTTTTGTGATCTGGGGCAAGTTACACTGCTTTTCTGCTTCTGTAAAATAATTATAAAAACATGAATTATCTTAACTTCTTGGACTCTGAAAATCACAAGAGGTAGTTTATGAAAAAGTTCTCAAAAAAGGTAAATTGTGGAACTATGATTCCTGTCATATTATTAGTAGCAACTGCATGATAATTGCCTAATTCTATCTGTACTTCATGAAAGAACTTTCTGCCTGAGAGCAAAATAGGTGTATGGCATGTCCCCTATCTGAATTTTGACATTGTAAGCATCTTTTCTCCCAGGCTACCAGGCAGGGAAATACACATGTCCCATGAGTTGTCTTCTAGGCAAAGCAGTTTTTTAGCTACTACTATATACTTCTGCTCATGAGAGGCATTTGGTTGAAGATGATTAGGGCCTTAAAGTGATGGAGCCCAGAGTTTAGGCTACCTGTCCACAGGCCGAGGTTCTTTGTGCCTTTGGTAAAAAATGTTCCTTCCAGGAGATGCTGGTTAAAGGTGCTTTTCAGACGGTGTCCTTGGAGAAAGCTTGATGATTTCTTTGGTCAAACTCTTTTTGCTAGAAAATATGAACTTGGGCCTTGGGCCTTCACACTGCATACCACAGTGTTCTTGTTCAGATTAGCAGACAAGCAACTTTGTTCTTGTGTTAGAAAAAATTACATGAAGGTTTTTTTGTTGTTGTTTGTTTTTTAATACCATTCAATAGAGATAGCAATGATATCAGGGAGACATGCCACTACTTTAAAAAATGCAGCAATTTAAGCATGATGGCTCACCCTGCCTGGAATGTAAACCCTTGTTTCAAGGGATATGACTACTTCTGTTTGTCTCTAAACCCCCTTCTCTTGAGTCAGCAACATTATCCCTGCCAGAACCAATGGAAGACTCAGGCTGGATTAGTATGCTTGCCAAAGACTTAGGTAAGAGGCATTATATTAAGGTCTAAATATTGTAGCTCAAACCTCTGAGGTTTCTAAAAAATTCTTTCACACAATTCATTATTGTTAGTGTTTGTGACTGTCTGATAAGCTCCAGAACATTTTTCTACCATGGAAAATATATTATTCCTAATAGCTGGAATTCCCTCCTTCCTCGTTTATGTACTTAAACCTTTCTCCCAAATCAACGACATGTCATCACCACCCTTTTCTCTGTTATATACCATTTTTCTTTCCTCTGTGTTAGGATGGTCGCCTACGAATGAATGACCAACTGATTGCAGTCAATGGGGAGTCTCTTCTGGGAAAGTCCAACCATGAAGCTATGGAAACACTTAGACGATCCATGTCCATGGAGGGAAACATTCGAGGGATGATCCAGTTGGTGATTCTTAGGAGACCAGAGAGACCAATGGAGGTGATGCAAATCTTGATTTTCCTTTGCAAATTGCCTAATGGCTACCATAATATGCAAATTTCCATTAACAGTGTGGTAGGTGGACTCATGGTGACACTGCCTGGGAAAACATACCCTAAAAGGGCTCTACTGCGGGGAACAGGTGGTTGTGTGTTTTAAGTATAAGGTATGAAAAGGTGCATATAAAGTAAGTTCTTTATCAACTATAACAGGTCCATCTTTTTTAGGGTTTTTTTCATTTAGAAATTACTAGAGTTAGACTTATTTTTACATGCTTTTTGGTTGATATGCTAGCAATACCTATCCCTTCCTGATCAGACTTGTACAATGTTTTAAGGGAAGATCATTATAATACAATTGGTTTTCTATATTCTCCCCCATCATCTACATATAGATAATTAGACTTACTAATTTAAAATTTGATCTTTTAAGCAAGCTGCTTACTTCAAGTTGTTAAAAAAAAAAGATTGAAGGCTTATTTCTGAGATTTTTTAAATCATGATTTCTTTGTGAACTTTTTAAGTATCAGAAATATTTCACTAGCAAATAAATGTAAGGATAAAATATTTCTAGAATTGTAATGCATTCCACTGTCATATATAAATTTTAAAAATTCCTAAGGCATTATATTCTCTTACATAAAAGAATAATTATTAAATGTTCCTAATAATTATTTTAGGAAAAAATCAGAAGAAAAAATTAGTAGTAGTAGATGTTAAAAAAATCAGCATATCCTAGATAATCTTTCAGGATATTCTCAAAGACCAGAATATGTTTATGTAATATAATTAAATGCAAAGTCATATAGAATACTATTAAGAGCACCAACATAAAATGCTAGTCTTAATAATAAATTTCACTTAAAATTTAAAAAATGAACAGGACTGTCAAACTAGTAGATGATGATGGGGCTCCTGAAAGTGTAAAGCTTGCGCTGTAAAGTTTAGCATTTGGGGGTTAAAATCCTAGGGTTGCCTTTCCTGGTTTTGTGACTAGATACATTTATACTTAAGTGCTCAGTGTTTGTAGATGACAGATATTGTTATCTGTTTTATCCATTAATGTATCTTTATTTCCCAGTGCATAATAGATACATAATAAATATTGTTCAATGAATAAAAAAATTGCAACTGAGATCTTCATCTGAGTAAGTAGGCCTTGAGTAGTAAAATTATAAAGTGTATCTTCTTTTGTTACATTATCAGCTATTGGAAAGGAGTAATTGTACCTTTTACATGCTTCTGTATATAACCTTGTAGATGTTAAATAAATGTAAATTGGCCAATTACTGGAGACTATATATAATGAAGGAGCTCATTTTCCACATTTGCGTCTGCTTAAGTGACAGAGTCTTCCATGAATATTTAATGGGCTTTACTTAATGTACACAGTTAGAAGGTCCTTATGTACTGTTTCCTACCATGAGAGAAGTGGCTCCATCTGGTTTCATTGGGTTCTTCCTCTAGAGCCCTATGATTCCATGGAACCCATTTGTTGGAGACAGGTGTGAAGGATGGCTTAGGGGGGCCTAAGTCATCCCTTCTGTGTATCTGCATATTAGCACTCCCTAAGGATTTATTTTAATAAAAACCTCACTAACAGAAAAGTCTGTAAGATGTAGCACAAAAGTATTATGCTCATGTAGACAGCAAAAGGTAAAAAAGAAAAGAATGTGACCTTAAAACACTTAGCCAGGCCCCCACATCTCCTCTTTCCTAATTCATGTCTCTTTCTAAAATATGTGTGAATGTACAGCATAGGTGTCATACATTTTGGCTCATGGAGTTGGAACTCTTTACTATTTGCATTCACCTTTACATCAGATATTTTCATCTTAATTTCCACAGTCTGCAGTGGATTGACATTATTCCATCAGAAGAAAGTATTAACTTTCAGTTCATTGCCCATCCTCAGAAGTGTCTTGCTAATATCATTCACCAGGGAATCGATCGGGAATAAGAACTGGGGCAAAAAGCAATTTTTATGAGGACATTTAAACAAGATCCATTTTCTTTTCCTAATATTTACATGCTTTCCATGGAGAATGAGCAGGCACTTGACTCTCAGCTTTTGAGACTCTCTATGGTACCCATGAAGATTAAAGAGTATTATTTCTTATAAAGACAGAAGCCTAATGTACAGCTTATCATTATTAAATTTGAAAAAAAAAATTGCAGCTATTTGATCTCCCAAATCTATGTGTTACTGTGTCAAAGCATATGTTGCGCACTTGTGTTTGTGGTGTATTCTCCTGTGCCCTCCAGTACAATAAAAAAGCATCTATAACCTAAAAAGGTCTCAACACAGCTCAGACAATCAGGCAGAGCAATTAGGCAGATTTGGCAAGAATGCCAAATGATTGCTTGAACATTATATTGATATTTAAAAAATTGAAGAAGCTACTTAAGAAAAGTCAAAATATAAAGTTGTTGTTGTGGCGGGGAGCAGTTCCCTCCTTACCTAGTTGTATAAGATATGTAAACAGTTTTGATGAGAACCTAGGGAAGAATATATAATGAGCCCTTGATTGAATCAAAATCATTTTAAATAGAAACATGTTTTTCAAAGGATGAGCTTCAGGTTCAATGGTAATTCTATTTGAGCCTAGAGACTTGGTATTAAAAAATGGGTTATGACCTGGTTTTGTTTTTCTCTTTCCCCAAAACATTTTCCTCCCTGCTGCCAGCTCATCTTGGTAGAAGCTGAATATGTTTAAAAATCCATTATGTGTTTTATTGGCTGGGACACTAATGGAGGGCTCCACGACAGCTCTATTTTACAGGCTGAATACTTTAATTAGACTGGTTACTGATCAGTTGTTGGGATATCGATTGTGTCATTTATCAAAGAGCTGGGAAAGCAGAAATTTTTTTCTCCCATGTTGTTATTGTTAAATAAAAACACAAGGCTGTGCTAGGCAAGTCGCACCATCCCTTCCTGTCCTGTTTTCAGGAGTGGCTTGCCTCCTGTACCTGGCTTGGTTTGACTAGCAGTATGGAGGCAAAGGGTGACATGTTGGGTGTGGGAGAAGTGTTAAAAAGCTAAAGGACCTTTAGCAACAGAAAAATTTTAATTATTAACAATGCATAAATTGAAAGCTTTAAATATTTTGTTTAGACACTGAATTTTTGTAACTAAAGAGGAAAAATAGAAATCAAACGCATTGTTTCCGCCAAATGCTTTCCCAGATGGAAAGAGCTCTGGGGATCAGATTGGGACTCTGTTTTGTGGCATGTTCAGCTCACAAATGGTCAAGGGAACAGCTATGAAATGACTTCCAAATTATTTTCTTCCTTGAAATCTGTTAGGGAGAAAAATAAGATGAGCAAGAGCAAGACCCAGTTCTCTATGCCTCGGTCCTCTTCAAAAAAAAAAAAAAAATTAGCTGGAGTTCTCTGTAATCACCTGCCTCCTATTACTTCTTCAGCTCCTGTGCAAGATGGCTTGGGGGGTGTTATTCTGGATACTGCAGTTTTGAGAAAACTGTGAATTCGTTTACAGACTGTCAGAATCTAAATAGGAAGGGGAAATATGCCGGTGGAGGGAGTAAAAGCTCTTAGGAGAAGCAGTCTCTGGCATTGTCACTACGGTTTGTTTCAGCTCCTGGCCAAAGACCTCATATCTGGGGGACACAACCTGCTTTGGTTCCGACTTGTCCTGGAGCATATGCACTCAAGTGGGGAGAAAGAGAGACTGGGTAGTGGCAGAGAGGGAGGGGGAGAGAGGAACCAGCTGGTTGGCAGAGAAACACCCTTGGCATGAACTGTGTACTTGTATTGACACTGCCACAAGCTGTACTCCCAGATGGAAGAAAATTTGAAAGAAGCCAGTTGTAAGTGGGGAAAAGAATAATAAAGTTAATCCTCTTTTGTGTTGGCTATCAGGATTCCTAATCCTTAACACCACATTGTCAGTATTTTTAATTTCATATTCAAAAAATTCTTATACCCACAGGGCCTTTTTGAGTTTCTACCGTCAAAGACTTATATAGTAGAGACTCTTGAAAGACTTGATCATTCTTTTGCTCTACTAAAGTTGACCAAGTTGGAACATTAAAAAAGAAAATGTAATTTTAATTTTTATCCCTTAGGAGCCTGCAGAGTGTGGGGCATTTTCCAAGCCATGCTTTGAAAACTGTCAAAACACTTTAAGCACCTCCAGGCGAAATGATAGTATATTGCATCAGTTTGGCACTTACAGTCCACAAGATAAACAGAAAGGTAAGATTCTATCCATTTTCTTCCCCTGTGAATGAAGTGAGAAAACAGTACCTTTATGTTTAAAAAAAAAAAGGCTATGGCAGGGGCGGGGGTGGGGGTGGGGCAGCGAGGAGGAGTTAATTAGACTAAGAGCAGACTTCCTTACTCCGAGTGCTGAGATGGGTGGGAATGCTGACTCAGAACTTGTGAATCAGATTCCTGGCAAGGCCGCCAGTTTAAGTGACAGTTTTTTTGCTTGCTGCCCCAAACATGGAGGGTTATATATAAAACAAACCATGACTAGAGAATCAAAATGGCAAACTGAAGGCAAACTGTTATTTTTTTTTTTTTAAGATCTTTTGATCTGGGATGTTATCATTGTAACTTTAAAAATGTATGGACTTACATTAAACCATGAAATGGTCATAATGTGGCTCACAGATTTATGCTCACTTCTAAGCTGTGGCAAGTAGTTAAATAGCACAATCTGAGTTCCTAACATAGCAATTGGAATGTTCTTGTTATTGTCTTGCTACACTTTCTCTCATTATCTGGTACAGATCACATTTCTAGTAGAGCACCGGATGTTAAAAAAAATAAAAAAAAAAAAACCCTAAGTTTTCTTCCTCGGCTTTCAAAAATTATACTTCGGGTCACCAAGAAAATTGTTTTATCTCCCCATATCTCTTTTCCTTAATAACTTTCATTCTTTATATTGCAAAAGCAATACATATTCATTGTAGAAAATTTAGAGAAAAGCAATAAAAAGAAAATTTAATATCACTCATACTTCTTTCTATCACAGATCTTAATCAATAACATTTTTATGTGTATCTTTCAAGTCTTTCTTCATGCAAATATGTGTACATAAAATGAAATTAAAAGGAAATATACTATAGGTGATGTTTAAGAAATTAGTTTTTTAATTTATCGCACATTATGAGCATCTTACTATGTCACTGAATATTCTTCTACAGCTTCACATTCAGTTAGTGGCATATTATTTTATTGAGTGAACTACATAATCAATCCCTTATATTTTGGATATTTAAGATGTTACAAAAATTTAACTATGTAGCTCCATCAGAACAGAATAAATCTGAGGTTGTTCTAGAATTAAATTGTTTCTTCCAAATGGGATGCTGTTTTGTTTTTTTTTTTAAACATTCCCCCATTTTTAGTGAGAGTAGCAGCAACAGCTGTTGCCATTTATTAAGTGTTTACTGTCTGTTAGATACTGTGTTAAGCAATTTACATGCACACTCAAAGTGGTTAATATTATTATCCTCATTTTACAGATGAAGAAATAGAATGTCAGGGAGAGTAAACAATTTACCCAAAACTGCATACTTGATACAGGCAGAGCTGGATTCAATTCCTGTCTCTCTGACTTCCTTTCATGCCCTTGACTTTCAGTGGTCCCACAAAATGAGTAAAATCCTGACATCTGAAACTAAGAATGTCCCTAAGTTGACTTTATATCCAGGAAAAAAAAAAAGTACTCCATATGTCTTTCACCTTAAATAAATTAAAAGTCTTCTCCATAATAAATAGCAATATCTCCTTCTGACACCTTTAGTCCCAGTAGTAACAGAGTCAGGAAGGAACAGCAAGTTTTCTAGTCTAGAACAGCCTTCTTCCTACTATGCCCATGTTAAGATAGCAAACACTGACATCTGTATTAAAAAGTCTCCTCTTTACAAAATTTGATTGGCATTTGACTCTAAAGCAACATGTGGGCCTGAGACTGAGTTTAGAGTTTTGTCTCTAATTTCGTCAGTAATATCCAAAGGAACATTGGACATATTACCTCCTTCTTGGTTCATTTTCAGTATCTAAAAAATATCAATGCTGAGGTGATATCTATCAAACATTTTTAGAGGACATTGATAGGCTCAAGTAAACTGGGTAATATCTTTAGAAAAAAAGAAGTGATAGCTAAAACAATGAAAATATGAAACTAGTCAACATGTTAACATAAACCTAGAATGCTGAGAGTATATCTTTAATCCCAGCAGCTCCAGAGGCAGAGACAGAAGGATCGTGAGTTCAAAGGCAGCCTCAGCAAAAATGAAGCACTGAGCAACTCAGTGAGAATCCTGTTTCTAAATAAAATACAAACTAGGGCTGGGGATGTGGCTCAGTGGTTGAATGCCCCTGAGTTCAATCCCAGGTATCTGCCCCCTCCCCCACAAAAAAAGATCCACCCAGGAAAAAAAATGTAAATAATAAAATATACTCAAAGCATGTGCTAAAATGAAATGTGATAATACTTTAGAGCTTCCATAAAATGTTCAGGCCTTGTATGTCTACTGAACAAAGAATTCTACGGTATAAGTGGCCACAGACAACCACTGGGAGTTTATCTGTTCTCTTCTTCCTGAGACATAGATGCAGCCCAGCAACTTTTACACCAGTGAAAACACCATGCAGATCTGCAACCCACAAGGTTCCTCTTCACCTTGATTTTACAAATTAACAAAATTTAAAAAAACTAACACTCTCAAGAAGTGAGCCCACTAACCCTTAATTATTTAAAAACGAGTTGCTCTTATTCCCTGTTGATCTGTGATACAATACTAGTTTACAATTTTGTGCTTTACATTTCCTTTGCATTTATATTCTGTGGTTTGAGGACTACTGGGAGTCACTGAGTTCTGGGCCATGGATGGTGGTAACAGGCCACCGAGACTCATCAATCTTGAGTATTGACACATGCCACCTATTTTTTAAGGACCTCATGTAGAAAAACAAGATTAACTTGACAAAGTGTAATATATAATGAGGATAGGAACTGGTACAGCCAAAACAGTAACTTTTTTTTCTTTCCCTTTTTCCTTTCCTTTGTATATTTAAAAATCCAAAGTTGATATTCTGTGTTCCATCTATTTTTGTAATAATAGTGCATACCACCCACAGTTTGCTGAGTATTTTATTTTTTATTCCTGTCAAGCTGTTACACACAAAAGGCATTTTTAGAACTAACATTTGTAGAAATTCACATTTGTGTTGGAGAATTGCTAGCAGTGCTGGGGATGGAGCAAGAGGGGTGCTCCAAGACGACAATAAGAATGGGTGCTGTGTCCCAGAGGTTGACTGTAAAATCCCACTAAGCATCTGAATGTTAATGAGGTGCCAACTCTGTTTTCTGAGGAATCTCACTGGCAGGTCTTACCCTAGGGCAAGTACCAGGCTAAGTGCAGTTGTCTGGGTTGTTAACTCCTCTCCTTCATCCCTCTCATCTCTCCTCTGTGCTCTTCTCCTGCTTCCTTCCCACTTTCAGCTCAAGTACCCCAATCTTCCCAGCATCAGCATCACCCACGGAGTTAGGCCTTTGCTGCCCACATCAAATCAGATGTTTTGTTTCTGTGCCCTGTCCCACTAAATCCATATTCCCTGGAGTCTTTTAAGGAGACACATAATGGCATCATTCTCCTTAATGGGAGGCCTCCTGGGAAACAGCATCATCCACCCCACCGTACCATGGAAGCCACTGCCTCTGCAGTGCTGGTCAGAAATTGGATTATACTCTCCAATTTGACTAATGTTTATTGGATACCTCCACTGTGCAGAATACACTATCAGGAATGGAAAGATAAATGCAGTGCTCGTACTGCCCTCAAGAAGAGACTGAAGCAGGGGTCATCAGACTTTGTCTTTAAAGAGCTAGATAGCAATATTTCAGATTTTATGGGCCACGGTCTCTGTGTTAGAAATTTTGGCTCTGCCATAGGAGTACAAAAGCAGTCATAAACAATAAATAAACAAATCAGCATGGCTGTGTTCAATAAAATTTTACATGCAAAGCCAGATGGTAGGATGGTTTTAGATCAGGGCCACAGCTTTGCTGACCCTTTGTCTAAAGTCCTAGTCTCTTTTACCTAGCTTTTCTGATCTGACTTTTGCAGGATGGATCCCACAAAATCAACCAAAGAAAAGATGGTAATTAAAAGAAAAGCCATTTAACCATTATTGAAGTGGTGAATAGAAGACAAATTGTCCACATTCACAGATATGTATAAATACGTACAAAGAGATATCTACCATTAAGAATGTACCTTGAACAATCACCTTGTACACTCAATGATATCTATAAAATTTGTAGGATATGAGAATTTCAGACTTTCATACTAACTCAGAGCTTAACCAAAAATGTTTGAATCAAGAGAAAAAAAATATTTTTACAGCATCATAATATGTTATTTAAAACCGAACCAAGGACATAGAGTCAACATATAAGATCCTCAGCACCACATAATATAAGTAAATAAAATAATTGTGTCCAACTACCAACTAAAAATATTAAATAAAAAAATAAGATACTTACCTCTGTACCATTATCACTTTAAGATAAAAAAACAGGTGGGTCATATGAATGCAGTAAAGTTAATGATTGTAAGACAAACAAACAAAAAAAATGCTTCAAAACTTAAAATAGCTACAGAAGAGGCACAGAAGGGGAGGGAGAAGAGAAAGGAGAGGACAAAGAGGAAGTTATCTCCAATCTAGTAAGAGAAATATAGATGAATACATGATAGCTTGGTAAGTCAATAAATGGCTCATTACACAGGCAGCATTCAATAAATGTTATACAGGAGAAATTACTCTGTATAATATTAAGTAATAGATAAACCAGTATGTTAAGGGGTAGAAGAAGACCCTGATGCACCTTCCTTGGCCACAGCACAGTAGGGCTTGGCAGGAGAAGAGTGCTTCATTAGTGCTGTGCTCCTGGCAGTGATTAAGGGACCTAAACTCCTTCTGTTGGTGGCTGGGCAGGCTTCTTGCACCTTTTCATTGGGCTCCTGGGTGGTAGTTACAGGGAGTGGCAGAGTGGAGAAGGTGCACCCTCTCTTAACCTCAGAGGCTGGGAATGATACTAACCATAGCAACTCACTTCCATTGGCAAGAATTAGTCTAGGGGAGAGAGGATGGAGACATGGTATCTTTCTATATAACCAGGAAGAGAATATTTTCTGCCACTTTTGTAAAGTCAATGACCTATCCTAAGACCAGTGGATGTTTTATAGATAAGGTGATATTTGAGGTGAACCCTAGGAGAAGGGTAAGAATTTGACAGATAGAATGGATTTTATAATTATATGAGCAAAGACACTACAGCAGGCAAGCTCAGGGGTGTGGTCAGGGTACATAGTCTTGGGTAGCTAATGTGTGATAGAAGATGAATTTGGCTGCCAAAGCCACAGACACTTATTTTGCAGGCAACTGTCTATAATTAAGTTTTTTGAGCAAGCAAGTTAACTGATCACCACCAGCTTACTGCCAGTGTGAACAATGGACTAAGAGGTTGCAGACAAAAAGATTCAAGCCAGCAGAAAGGATATGCCCCAGGTCCCTATTTATAGTACAGTCCTTCTGCTCTCTTTTTCTTAGCAAGTCTCTGGCTACTGGTCTGATACCACTACCACCAAATTGCCAGATCCCAGTGGGTGAAGGTGCAGGGGGCTGTGCTCACTACTTTTGCTCATTGTGCTTTTCTACCTGTCACACCTGCTTATCAGAGCTCTAGCTTCCTCATTCCCAAGATATGTCATCACTGCTTCCACCAGGCAGAAGGCCTGGGGAGAGCTGAAGCAAATCCTTGCTCAATGTATTCATCAGGGTTCTTGAAAACAAACAACAAGGGCCACAAACAAGAAGCAACATGATGTAGGTGTATATCTAAGTAGATTTGAAAGGAATTGGCTCACACAGTCAGGGAAGCTGACAAATCCCAAGATCTACAGAGGGGTTAGCAACCCGGAGACCCCAGAAAGCTGATATTGTGCTTCTAGTTTGAACTCAAAACACTGGGGACGAGTAAACTGAAGATGTGGCTCTCATCCAAAGCCAGCCAGCTTGAGATCCAGGAAAAGCTGCTGTTTTCCTTCAAGTCCAAAGGCAGAAGAAAGCTGATACTTGGGTTCAAAAGCAGTCAAGTGGGCGGAATTCCCTCTAACTTAGGGAATGCCAGCCTTTGTATTCTACTTTGCCCTCCTCCCCCAGCTTTCTGGGTAAGGCCCACCAACATTAAAGAGGTCTCTTTTACCTAGTCTGTTGATTTTAAATGTTAATCCCATCTCAGAATACCCTTCCAGAAATTATCAGAATAATATGTAGGTACCATCACACTTGGAAGATGGACAAAATAAAACCAGACTTTGTTACCAGCAGCATCTAGCAGCAGAAGATAGAGGATATCTTAAGGATAGAGATTTTTCTCTTTTTATATCCATCAGGGACAAACTTGGTCCACATTTCATCAAATGTCTGCTGTATTAGATATACAGAATTTATTACTTTTGGCATGATCACCCTCTGCATGGAGTTAGTAAGCACTTTGCATGCATGAGTGCCCTCTCACTCAGTGTGTCCTGTTCTAGTGAAGGTGTTCTTATCACCACTTTATAGATTTAAAAACTGAGGCTTGGAGAATTAGAGTAAGTTTTCCAACTTTGCACAGCAGTAGGAACTAGGAGTGGAAACATGGCAATCTTGCTTCAAAAATAAACCAGGAAATTGCATGGTAATGGAGGGAGACCCTCATTGTTATACAAAATTACATATAAGAGGTTGTGAGGGGAATGGGAAAATAAACAAGGAGAGAAATGAATTACAGTGGATGAGGTAGAGAGAGAAGATGGGAGGGGAGGGAGGGGGGATAGTAGAGGATAGGAAAGGTAGCAGAATACAACAGTTACTAATAGGGCATTATGTAAAAATGTGGATGTGTAACCGATGTGATTCTGCAATCTGTATTTGGGGTAAAATTGGGAGTTCATAACCAACTTGAATCTAATGTATGAAATATGATATGTCAAGAGCTTTATAATGTTTTGAACTACCAATAAAAGAAATAAATTAAAAAAAAAGAAAAAGATAATAGCTGGAGAAAATAAGATCAAGGGAGAGTTTAATAAAGGATCTAGTTAGGATGGGAGAGATTAGAAATGTAAATGAAAGAGAAAGATACTCCATTGTATGACTTTCCAAGAAGGTTGGAAGGGATGAGATTTAATGCCAAGCAGAAGAGGTGGCCCTAAAATAGAGATAGTTGCCTCCTCACTAGAAAGAAGTTTGCTTGGTAAAAATGTGAGGCCATTTCCATTTGATGACTTATATCTTTCTCTTAAATTTTAACAAAGTTAATTTACAAATAAAAAATTGCATATATTCAAAAAAAAAACAAAAAAAAATAAAATAAACCAGGATACTCTCTAATGCTTTACAAATATTAATAAATTCTAGTGTAAATTTTGAGCATTCAATGGAATTATGCACATAATGTTTAGTACAATGTCTCATAAACAGTAAGATCTCATCAAACCTTACTTGATCTTGGTATCAATATTCGGGATATGTGTTGTTTTTCCAGTCCAAATTTCCTAGAAAAATATGCTCTGGTGTTAAGTAGGAAAACCTAGATTTAGACCCTGGCCTTTTGTTTTTAAGTCCTAAATCCAAGTGATTCTGTTATGAAATGGAAGAAGAAAGAGTGGGAGTTTCCCTCTATAGTGTCTAAATAAATAGATATACTGTATATAAATGGCTTTTTAAAAGTATTTTTGCCATTGAAGCAAATGCCTAAATCACTATATAATTCAGAGGAATCCCTACAGAGTCTTATTTACAAAAATATTAAAGCATGAAAGACATGGTTTTGTTAATCTTCCAGAAATCACAGGTAATGAGTATGTATCAGCCTTCAACAGGTGGGGGAAGGATGCAGGGAGCTGACATGCCAGGGGTTGCCAGCAGGTCACCAGCTTCACATATTAGCTGGAGCATATTTCCTGGATCAGGGAGCATGAGCTCTCCTGACAATCCTTTGGTTCTGGGTGAAGCCTTATTTAGTTGAAGGCTGGTTTATGTGTTGGTAAAAATCGTGTCTGCGAGATGGACTGAAGCAAAACCAGGCACTGAATGGTTCTGCCTCCGGGTTACTACAGCTTCATTTGTTCCTTGTTTATAGACCTATTGCTTTCCAATGACGGATGGGCGGAGAGTGAAGTACCACCTTCCCCACCACCACATTCTGGTCTGGAATTGGGCCTTGAAGATTACAGCCACAGGTATCGATAAAATGATATATCATAAATGTTCCCCTGTTATGGTTTTTCTGGGAAAACGCAGCCACCTTATTTTTACTCTATTTCTTTCCAGAATGGAAATCTCATAGTATCTATAATTCCTTTCCAGAGACAGCTTCTCAAAGCTAATAGCATTGATTGTTCATATTTTGCTCCCTAGAATGTGTTAAGATTCATCTAATATGATGAAACTATTTAAGAAAATGGTTGGATTTTCTTTTACAAGTTTGAAAACAAGAGCAGTGATGCCCAAAGAAAATTTATATGGAAAGGTATGAAACAAAACCGAAGAAAATGAAACAGGATTTTTTTTCTTTGTAATTCACAAACCCTAAAGGTACTTTAAAAATAGATGTTCCAAGAAAGTTAATGGAATCTAAAAATTAAAGCAACACCATATATAATCTAAAATATTGAAAAGGGTACCCAATATTATATCCATTCTCTAATAGAAACTAAAAAAAAATCAATAATTTTTTAGAATCACACAAGCACAAGAGAGGGAGATTTATAAGCATACATACTATTTGACTAGTGGAATTCATAAATTTTGTTCTTCTGATGAGTTTTAAAAATCATTAAATTGTCTCTTTGCTATTTTCTGTATTTATTATGCCTGTTAAAAACTGTGTATTTTATTCCATTCCGTGTCCCATGATAATCCTGTGAAATTTCTTCATTTTTCTTGTAGCAATGCTTTTTAATACAACCTGTTAAAAATACAGATGCACAAGAGTATATCTAACTCTATTAGATGGAGGCTTACCTATATTTAGCTCTCTCTGATTTTTCTATTTTTGAAATTAGTTATCTTACTCAAACACAATTTCATGAACTAGGTTGATAATCACGGTTATATTCTAGATCAGTATCTCGAGGGCTACTTAGAAAAAAATGTGGACATATTTAATTTTTTCCCCTTTATTTCCACTGTCTATCTCAATCCTGAATCCAAGTTGGTAGCATTAAAGAATCCATTTTTAAATAATTTCATAATAATTTCAATAAAGTAGATTTGTTGTTCATCCAGTATATCCAGTATATGCAAAACCACTGGAATGGTGACAAGGTGAGTCAGAAGCCCTGCCCTCAAGAAGCCAGAAGGCTAGTGGATCACAAGATACAAAATGATAGAAGGTGTAATTTAACATGTGGTCTGAGGCAGAGGGACTGCTTCCAGTTAGGAGAATCAGTCCAAATGTGATGGTAAAAGTTATTTGAGCTGAATCTTTCCTCATAACTAGAGGTTAGGTGTGAGATAAGCCTGGGAAAGAAGGGAATTTCAGAGAGGGAAGGAATAGCATGGAGGTGGGAAAGGAAATTGATATGTACAACTTATTGACCAGCCAATAAAGCCCAGGATGCACGGATGAGGTATACATGCCTCATTCAGTAGATAGGAAAAACTATTGTAGAGTCTTAAAAGACAATAGGTATGGTAAACCTCAAGATTTCATTGTGTGTAACATGGATTAGATAAATAGAGGAGGGCTGATATCCACTGGATGCCAGACTCCATTGGATCCCTGCTGGGGCCATGGCAGTGAGAGGTACTCAGGACCTGTGCTGGGGAGGACAGGGAGATTGCTCAGGTGAGAAACCTGCAGGTGAGGGGTGGTTCAGATATATCTATTGGGAGTTAGCGACCACCTTTATGACTTCTTCAAGATCTTCAGATTTCTCCCCTTCCCTCTTCTGTCAAGCACATTCCTCTATGATTTCCTCAGACTTCATTCTTTTTTTTTCCTGCTCTGCAGTATTTGAACATTAAGTCATTCATTTACTCATCCATTCAGAAGTATTTTTGGAGCTTTGAGCCAAACACTCTAGAATGCACTAGAATGGATCAGAAAGCATCCTTGCCAGCCAGAAATGCAGTGTCCTCTTAAGAAGACAGACACTTAAGGATGCAGCCTGCTCAGCATTAGATACAAAATGCCATGGGAGTGCAGAGAAATGAGCCACCTGACTCTGTCTGTAGGATCAAGGGAGTTTTCACAGAAGAAGTGGTGTCAGTAATTTCTTAGAAAATGGAAAGGAGCCTACAATGCCGAGAAGTGGCAGGAAGACCAACCTAGGTTAGAAAACTAGGTGATGGAGAGGAGACTCATCATACATTCAGTGTGGCTGTAGTGCATGGTATCCAGGGGGAAAATATCAAGGTCCAGTATTGTCTACCATGCACCAAAAGCACCTTGCTTCTTCAGGGAGCAGTGGAGAAGCATTGAAGGGCTCCAACCCACCAGATGACAATGTCAGACCTTGGGCAGTTTCACTGTGGAGAATGGAATGGTTGGGGGAAGCCACATACAAAGATCTCTAGTACTCTTGGGACTAACAAGAGAAAAACACTACCTGAAAGAGGGGAAAAGCAGTGTCGGTGGAGGGAAAAGGGCAGAGGAAGGAACAAGTCTTAAGCCTTGAAACTCTTCCCCCTCCTGGGAGGCTGTGACCTGCACAGTCCTGCAAGCTACAGCGTTGCCTAGGTGACCAGCAGCAGCAGGGTTTGGATGTGTGAAGCTTGGGATGGAGGATACACTGGAAAGGAGCCAGGAGGATTGAGCAATTCTGTCATTCAAAAAAAAAAAAATTATAAAGCCCTCTAAGAGGGAATAGCAGTGCTTTAGGGATGGAACCACTCTTCACAGTGGAAAACTGCCCTTGCATGGAAAGGGAAACACAAATTAGATCAAACTTAAGGCCTGTACTTTAAACCCAAATGAAATCAGTACATTCCTGAATTTATTTCTACTACTCTGCCAATGATCATTAGAGAAAAGGTTAGAATACGTGTGTCTTAGTAAAAATATAAGGGAAATATCTTTTACTGCAGGATCTCAGGGAGAGTTGAAGGTAGATCAACAGCAGGCAGAATATATTGAATATTATGAATATTATTAACATTTTGGACAACATTTGATAATTTCCTACATGTTCATATTTTTCATTCTCTGTCTCTATCCTTCTCTCTCTGCTTTGCACACATGACCTCTGTTACTCTCACACTAGCCAAATGTTGAAATCTATTCATAAGACACCAGTGGTTTCAGTCATATATATATATATAGGCATACTTCTCAAAATCTTCTTCCTCTGCTTTTTATTTCACACAGTTCTCCTTGAACATGCCCTGCTGGCCCTTGTGTGTCTTTCACATTCCTGGTTTGTCACCACATTCAGGACACTGGCATATGTTTCATGCTACCCTTATTTATTCATTATGCAGCATAATTTGACATTGAGTATCATTTCTATTTGATAGATTTCCCGGTTGTTCATGCTGAAAGCACGGCCTCGATCTAGGACACGTCTTTGGCCTGCTGTCAACTTCAGCTTCCCACAGCCCCTGGTGCAGCCCACTCAGCCATGAGTACATGCTAACTCCCTTCAAAATTAAAATATGTCATAGTTTATAGTTAATCATCGTGTCACCCTCTCACTCTAAACACTTCTGATGTGTAGATAAAATTACAAACCATTTCACTAGTCTTACTGACATGTCTAAAATATTTTCACATTAACTAATTCAATACTCCAGTCATTATTTCAGTGTACTATATGCTCACGTTGGCTCTGGTCCCATAATGTCTTATGTAACACTCACGTCCCTCCTTAAATATCTGCCAATCTGACATCAGCCTTATTTTGCATTTCCATTTTGTCTCATGGCAAGAGGGGATCCTCCCATTGATGGTTTTCAAGTTGTATACGTGGTTACAAAATGATGATAACAAATGCATACATCAAATTAATGGGCATAACAGACATACATATATATACTTAATATAAACAATATGTTTGTTCCATTTATATGTATAAAGAAGCTTTTATTTCTCTGACCACCCTTGAGTGTTTCCTAATATCTCTATCAAAATATATTCATTTTATTTGGATAGATCCTAACTTGATGTTACTATGTCAAGTGGTATTGCCACCTTCTTGGATAAAGATCATTATTTCTCACGAGCCTAGGAGAATTTGAGTTCTTATCCTTAATATATCAGTTTGGAAGACACTCTGAGAATGAATTTGGGCAACCAATACATTCCTCACTTGGGTAGATCCCCATAGTCCACCTTGAGCTCAGCACTTCAAATACAGTGTGATCTTTGTTTTAAAGAGGAATATTCATGTTGGTTCTAAACCTCTGCCTGAAGGCTTTTGTTATAACATATAGCATCTGTTTTGATCAACTGTCTGGCTTTCTTTAGTTTCATGATATGCACCCCTCTGTTTAAACAAAAAGCTAAACTAAAATGCAAGTTGCATAGGAGATTGTGAGCAAATCTGCACTAAGTTAAAGAAAAGCTTTGAAATTTTGGAAATTTAGGCTTGAAACAACTTATGTCCCAGGATGGCTGCCATTTTAACAAAGCTTATGGTTCTGCTCCTGGCTTTGCCCTTGGCCACCTGTGTGACCTTGGAACATAAGTCCTCCTCTTTGGGCCTCAGAGTCTTATCTAAATGATGCCCTAGGCTTTAATCCCTTCCAGTTCTTAAATTCCTTGAGTCTATGTGGCCATGAGTCTTTCTGACACTAAATCCACATCATCACAGTAGATCAAAGGATGGAAAAACTAAGAGCAAATAAAGGTCGAATAACACATTTAAAGAATATCAAGGATTTGGGGAAACTCGTGTGCACACTAGCATCTTAGATTCTTCTTTAAAATGTGCTGAAAGAGAGAGAGAATTGCTGTTAGATCAATAAAACTAAGTGGGTCAAGGATTTTTTGCACATAATTAGCATGTCTTCCTATCACTAGATACCACATCTAGTACACTGTATGTATCAATGGTTTTGTCTGTTGAGAATGCACCCAGGCACCATTGAAATTCATGACTCCAATGAGTGGATTTAAACTTCTTGAGAAGTGTTCACAAAAACAGGTACAATCTTTTCGTTGAAGAATATTGCAAGTCCTCATTCAAAGGCCACCATAATCTACAGAAATAAAGAACTCCCATTCATTGTAATAGCTCCCATTGATTGAACATAATATTAGCTAGAGAATACTTTATTTAAATTGTACTGCAATTGTATATGCTAGGCACTAATCTTAGTATTGAGCATTCCTTCACTTATATAATAATTACAATAGCCTTATAGAGTAAATTCTATTAACTGTTTTATAGATGAGGCCACATAGCCTGACATCTCCCTAGTCCCTAAGCTACCTTAGTCACAGCCCTTCTAAGGGCTAACAAAGATGGAAATGGCAAGGAAACTGTGAAAAAAAAATCTGGACAAGCTCAGAAACTCACAGTCATTTAGGAAGCAAAAGCAGATCTATTTATTAATCTGCTCGTTTGGTACCTGAGCACTTTTAGAGCACTTGCTCTGTGTGAGTCTATTTACTTTCTAAATCTTTAACTCATTCTATCTTTTTGGTCACCCTCTAAGGTAGAGAATGTAATTATACTCATTTTCAATGCGAATAATACACTTAAATCTACATGTGAGGACACTGAATAACAGAGAAATGACAACTTGCCCAGGTCACACAGCTAGTAAGTAGCAGAAAGGGGATTAAACTGAATCCAGGACCTGCTCCACATCCTGGCTCTTGAGAGTATCTTGTACTGTCCATCAGGGCTACTTTCTTAATCTACCTGCCCACTGTATTATTAGTGGAGGTTCATTTACTCATTCATCAATATTAGTGTAGCTACATATTAATTTTAACAGTGCTGTCAGGAAATATTAAATGTCCATAACTGATGAGTTTCAAGAAAAATTGAACTTATTTTGGTATATTTCATTTAAAACTTGAGATTCCTCTGTACATGAATTCTCATTCAGAAGTTATTTTTGTTACTTTGTTGTTTAAAATATCAACCTCCAACTTTTTGAAAAATTCAACCTCAGTACTTTCAGATTTCCTGAGCATGCTTAATTTGAGTTCTTTCTGTATCTAAGATTAGGAGTACAAGTCATATTGAGATGAGCTACCGTATGTACCTCATAAACAGACAAGCTATCAAGAAAGTGGAGTTTAATATATGAAAAGTATACAAATATGATGCATTTCTGGATTGAGATATAAGCTATTATCTGTAATTTCTTTATATAAAATCCCTTCATTCTCAAGAAAAATAAATAAAATATCCAGCAGAAAGAAAATTCATCGAGACTGACCACAAGTACCAGGAATCCTATAATGGGCATTTGATGCTTCTTGTGTCTAAATTGTCAACCATGCTTTTCCTGGGATTGACTTTTGGTATTATTGATGAGTGGACTATCTGCTCAGCATTCACGTTAGTTTTGGAAGATGAACCTAAATAAGGTAAAAATTCAAACTCCATCTGCCATCAGTCATTCAGCAAGATGTTTTTTTTCTGAGGAGCCAACCCTTTCACTTATGTTTAAATGAAGGGCATGCTTATCCTGCAGAAATCTCAGTCCACTTTAGAGCACTGCTAATGTCTGGTGACAAGCTATGAAGTGCTAGTGCTTCCCAGGCACCTGTTACCCACTCAAAGTTCTATATGGTATAGCAGGATCCCAATTAGCAAAAATCAGTGAAGAGTCAAACATAATATTAGCTAGAGAATACTTTATTTAAATTGTACTAAGGATAAAATATATGAAAACAGGGTTGCTACATCTCATGAAAGAAACCTGAAAGTAAGAATTGGCTCAAAATACATACCAATGGGCTGCAAAGAAGCTCATAGGGACTATGTTCCAAATGAGAACTGCTTCTCTCTCTCTCTCTTTTGTCCTCTCTTTATGATTTTATTCTAGACCTAAGTATGACATATGGCTTCTTTCCACAGCTCTGGGGTAGATTCGACAGTATATTTTCCAGATCAGCACATCAACTTCAGATCTGTGACACCGGCCAGGCAGCCTGAATCAATTAACCTGAAAGCTTCGAAGAGCATGGACCTTGGTAAGTGAGGGGGAGGTGACACCCAAGTCAGCTCTCCAGCCTCAGCCCATCTATCTTCCCAAATGTCCAGGTCTTGTTTCTTTAACTCAAACCTCAGGGAGCAAGGTCTGCAGAAGCTGGAGGATGGGACTGGTCATAGTATCTTCCTATCTGCTCTCACACACTTAGTTACCCTCTTTGTAAAAGCAAGAGTGATGACTTATTCTTATTTTGTGGTCCATAAAACGTCCTCCCTTTATTAGGTCAGAAAAACATGTTTCCTCTGGAGGTTCCGAATGCTATAAGCATCTTTAACTCACCTGCATTTGTATTTGCCCTCTAGCTTCTGCCAGTGCATTTCATTTCAAATGAACATACCTGTTTCAGGGCCTGGGAAGAAGATGTGGTTAAATGGTGCTCTCCATCCTTCTTTTGTGTTTTGCATATGTGATGGATAGGGAAGGCAAAAATGAAGAAGATCCCTCTCTTCCAGTGTCCATCCCCTATGACACTGGAGGGAAAAAGGGTCACTTGGGTTTGCCATATGGAGAGTGTCAAGGTACCTGGGCTGTCCTGAACAACCTCATCAGTGTTCTGAGCACCATGGATATTACTGGATGACTGTAGGCTCTCAGGGCAAACCAAAGACCCATGTCAACAGTGTTCTCCAGGCACTGGGACATGGGTCCTGGAAAGACATTCAGACATCTACTGCTGCCTTCCCATGGGCTCTTAGTACAAAATAAATTCTTAACAAAATATCCCTTGCTTCCTGAATACTCAGAGGCCAACCTCTGCAACTGTTTTTTCTTGAGGCATATTACATTTTTCATTAATAGCCACGAGAAAATAGAATAATCAAAACTGAGTGCTCTACCAAACAATATAATAAATAGTGCTTATCTGCTGTTCATTTACAGGAGTTCAGGAAAAGGCTCAATCCTGATGAAATGAGAAATTGATTCTATTTTTTATAAATTAACCAAATCACTGGGAAGCACTTGCTCTCATCACCTATAGTGAGAGACAGACAGAAAACCTTAACAAGGGAGCTACTTGAACACTGGTCTGAAGGGTGTTTCTCAGGCATGAATCTCTGACAAACCAGAAGAGTAATGTGTGACACTGACATCAGTTATTACTAAAAATGTATTTTTATAAATTGCTTGATAAACATTTTCTCTTCTGTCTTCTCATTTTATCTATAGAGAAGATGAATGGACAAAACTGCTCTTAATTTCAGGATATGGGGGGGGGGGGACCATATTACTTTTTTTTCATTTAATTAAAAAAACAACAACATAAATTGTTTCCTATGAAGTATTTCTGCTCTTATTTCTTATTACTGAAAACTTTATTTTTGAGAATTTTTTCTTTTGAATTGAAATCACATTTGTAAAATATGTATAGTTGGCAGTCTTCCATTGCATTTTTTTGTACATGTACCACAAATGACAACAATAATAGTAATGTTTGTTCAATTTACAAAATTGGACAGATGCTGGGTTATTTTTTTCAGGACACAAGTACCACACTAAAAGCATTGGCTAAAATGTACCATGCAGCAGAAGATTTAATAACATGCTATAGAAACATTTTTAGAGTAATCATCCAAGTTTAGCCCCCCTCCAAGATGTACCAATTTGAAGCTAATAGTTTTTCAAAGACTGAGGGCAAGCATTCTAGAACCATCTGGTTCCTACTCCCTAGAACAGACAAAGGAGTGAGCTTAATAAATGTGTTGACTTTCCACTGGATATACTCAGGTGATACCCCAATGATACACATTTGGAAGTATCTTTCCTGCTTGATTAGGAAAGCAGAATATAGTTGTAGTTTAGTTCTCCATATACCACCCTGAGCTAATATAATGTTTATCCATGCCATGTTGGATTTCTTTCATTGCGAGTGAGCCTTGATTTAGTTTGATTTTCTTTTCCCTTCAGATGGAATTTAAACTTAATTAAAGGTTTTATTTTGAGTTTGTGGGTGTTTTGTCCATTTATATTATTTCCTACTTTGCAGTTTACTTCTTTCCAGTGTTTCTATTTGTTAATTCTTTTTCTCTTTTATTTTTAGACTAGTGCATGCATGTTGCAAATAATTTATTATAATTTGTTGTCTTCTTAGCTTGATTTTGATATCCTTTACCATAAAAAGCTTTAGTCTCAGAGTCAAATACTTCCATCTTTTCTTTTGATTTTTGATTTTATGTTTGTCCCATTTACTTTCTTCTAGATCCTTTTCTTAAAAGTTAAGCAATCTACATTGTATTTTATTCACAGTGTATGAAGTAGGATAATTTTTCTCCAAAATATATAACAAATTATTAATAAATTTATTGAGTTTTCCATCCTTTCCCTATTAATTTAAAATGTAGTTTCATTGAATAATTAAGTTCCCTTATACACATAAATGGGTGGGCTTATAGATATGCTTGTCTATTTATATATTAATCTGCCCTGTGCTGGCATCATTCTGTTTAAATGATCATGCTATTACTTTGTACTTTGATTTACATATAGGATGATCTTCCTCTGATTTTCCTTTGTAAAAAGAAACCTATTTTTTTCAAAGTAAAATCAGCATCAGTTATTGAAATTTTAAAGGTTACACAGGAGTGTTTACTGTGTGTGTGTGTGTGTGTGTGTGTGTCTGTCTGTCTGTCTGTCTATCTTCCTGCCTATCGGAGTGACTGTTAATTATAACATTTATTACTGGTTCTTGATAAAAAAAAAACACACACACTTTATCAAGTGAAATAAGCTTCCTTGTATTTCTCGCTTCCACATTTTTTTTTATCTGTCCCTTTTTTGCTTTAAGTCAGAGATGGACATTGAATTTTAGTAAGTAATTTTAAGGATATAATATATAGCATGATCAAATATATTTTCATTTTCATTAATAAAATACAAGCAGGTTGCCTAACAGATTCCATAATATTAATCTTTGTTTCTTTCTGAATAAATCTAACTTTCTCTGTTCTTGAAGTATCCATTCAGTTAACTACAGATATGTGTATTAAACCCTGCTAGAAATGGCCACCATTGGCTCTGTGCTCTCAGAACAGCTTTTCTCAGTGTTATCAATTCCTATATACCCCTTACAGATTTTTCTGAGGCTATTTTGCCTCATAATTTCTGCTAGTGGGTATATGGTCACGTGTAAGACAGATCAGAAGTGATTAGAATGATAAGTAAAAGGAAATTTATTTTTAAATAATTGGGTATAACTATGCATATTCAAAGGGGATAGGGTGTCATTTAAGGGACTGGGTTGATACTTCTGGGTTTACCAGAAAATCAGTCTCTCCTACTAATTGTAGACTTTCCTCTATTTATTTAAATTACCAGAATTACTATGTTCTGTCTGCATCCCTTTAATTTGTTCATAATTGCGCTTGTGTGGGTGTTGAGTTGGAAGCTCTTAGAAGCTGAATAACACAGCTGCCTTTTTGGCCTTTGGCATAGGGTTTCCCCCCAAAGAGCTGCCCCTGTTGGCAGCATGCCAGGAAGTTACATTCAAAGACTTTTTGATGAGGCATAAAAATCTTTAATTTCCAGGCTTGGTGTTTTATGACCCCATAATACTCCTTAAGAATTAGTCTCAATTATTCAAGGGACAGCACTTCAGTGTTTGGGCCCCTTTGTTGACCTAGTCTATAGCTCCATTCAAAGTTAGGTTTAAAACACTATTTCCCATAAGATTTTTTTTTAAGAGTTTTCTTTCCTGTTTCCAATTGTGCTCAGACTCCTGTTTCAGAGGGCGTCTGTGACACAGTTAAGACTAAGGGCAGTGCAGATGGAAGATGCTGGCCAGCTGTCCCGCCTCTGTTCAATGAGAGGAAATGAGCCTACAGTGATGCATGAGGCATTTAGATGAAATGTTAGCAAGTTTCCTGACAGTGAAGATTGTTAACATTGCATGTTCCATAGTCTCTTATTTAAAAAGAAAAAAATATGTCCCTAAAACTCAAGAGAGAGATTGGCTGATTGTCTTTCCAGATCTGTGATTCTGCATTTTTATTTTCTGTTAGTTGATTGTTCTATATTTATTTTTTTAAGTTAGAAAATGTTTGTAGATACCCACAATTGAAGTAAAAATTATGACTCATATCTACAAAGGTAAATATTTGGAATACAATACTTTCATGCATGTCAGATTTTCCCTTTTAGTAATTTGGTATCTTTATTATCAGATCAAAGATGAGCATTAGAAAAGTTAATTAACCCCACCCTACTATTCTAAAACTTTGTTTTATTATTTTTATAGTGAAGTACTTCTATATGCTTTCTTGATCATAAGATAATATGAAATTATTATCTTGATAATAAGAAAAACATCCTGAAGACTGAATACATAGAATTTTTATAAAATTATATATTCTGATAACTCTAATACTCATATATCTATGTATGTTGCATATCAATATATTTTAATATAGATGTTAATTTATATCCGTGGCTTTTCTTTATTGTCCAGTTATGAGCAATACCTCTGTAGATGTCAAAATCTGAATCAGATACTGCTATATTGACTATAAGTTTGACTTTAAAAGCAAAAATGAAAACCTATTTGGTAAGAAAAATTAATGGTAACAATAAAAGTGTCTACTTATCTTGTAAGTCACCAAGGAAGTGCACAAGAACATAGTCAAATATATGCCCTATGTTATAGGAAAACAAAATTAAGAAATTATATTCATTCATTAAAGAAATATGTATTGAGGACCTACTATGTGCCAAAAGTGCACTAAATACTGGGGATTCAGTTAAATCAGCCAGAGACATGGTGCTCGCTATTATACCTAGATCAAAACCCTAACAGGAAGGAAGACCCAAGAGTTAAGAAAAGATTTCCAAAAGGAAATTCTGATGTGATGATAACGTATCTCAGAGAGCAAGAAATGTAGAGGAATCTGAAGATACTGTGGTAGCTGCCTCAAGAACTCACTGATAACCTTGGCTATGTGGAAAAGAGGAAGAGAGGAGCAAATGGTAAGGAAAAAAAAAAGTAATCTA